TTTTTCTTTTTAATTTGGAATGAATTAAGAAATCTCCTTAAATTTTTGATTGAGACCATGAACTGACTGATGTTAGACCAAAATTAAAAACCTGGAAATACTGGACGGACGTTTCGTCCTATTATGGGACTCCTCAGCAGTGCGCACCCACGATCCTGCATGCGGGATTCGAATCCAAGACCATCGATCTCGTGCGTGGACACTTAACGTTTAGACCACTGACACGGCATCTAATGGTGTTAATGTCTAACCTCAATCAATTCACAAAATTGCGCGGTTATCTTCCTTTTGTACTGAAGTAGATACATGTCTCTACCTGACACGGATTAGATTTTATAAAAACCGTAGAAAAATAGAATAAAAATCGACTTTTTTCAATACTGGACCATTTGACTCAATCAGCTGTCAATCATAAACAGAGTAAGCATTCACTTACTATTGTTTGTTTGAATCTTACCATTGATGTTTAGGACTGCAACTGGTCAGTCTATTATTGGCATATGTGCACCCCGTTGCACAAGCAAGTGGCTATCAGGACTCAGTAGCCGAGTAGATAACGCGATGGCGTTTCAAGCGAAAGGTACTGGGTTCGAGTCCCACAGTGAACATCAACTCTGAGATGCAGATACATCCAGCTGACGAGTCCCAAATAGGACGAAGTAGCGCACGTCCTGGATTCCACTGCTAGCCACTATGCATCTTTGCTTACACAGTAAACATTATTATTATTATTGTTATCGGATACATGACCCAATTCGTTGACATTTATATGTGTACATAAGAAAAATATGTAGAAACAATGCTTACTTTTCAAAATCTAATCAATAATATTGATTATATATGCAGCATATGTATGAGCAAGTGGAAGTTAAATAATTTGATATGAATAAACTTTACACTCATGCGATCGATTATACATTGTAATAATAATCAATAATTAACTGATTGGAGGGAGGGGGTGGATATTAAATCTTTTTTCTTTTTGTTTTGATGAGAAAAAGTACCGAACTTGACTTTAATCTAATTGATAGATTATAGCACTTCTAATTGTGACGATTTAATCGGGTTATATTAGTTGGAGTACTTGTACCTTTTAAGTTTTACTATGCCAGATAGGTCGGTTGGAGGATAGTAAAACCAGAAGCCATAACTTAAGATCCCAGGAAGTTGTTGTGATTATTGTATAGGGGTGTGACAGTACTAAAGTGTTTTCTACAAACATTCAGCATCTGCAATGACGCTGCACCTTGAAAAAAGAAGAGACTTCCAGGTGAGAATCACGTAATACACCAACAGAGTTATGAACACTTACTTCACGTATCTACTAACTAAATGGAGTAAAAACCAAAACTGTGATATATCACATAAAGGTGTTCTGTTTTTGACATTAAGGAAAACAAAAGTCATGGTGATGGCCTACTACTGGTTTGATGTTCATAGGGAATTCGGAAATAGTTAATTTCTCATTCCAAACGGAATGATGAATCACCTAAGGTTTATAATCGCACATTAATACAGCAAATCTATAGCTGTTTCCCTATATATTCAGTAATTATCTGGGTTAGTCAAATGTTTTGAGAGTTTATTAGCCTACTACCTATTTAAGACAATCCTATATACTAATAGAAGATAAATAAGTATATTAGTCTATAATAGAGTGAGGACGTAATCAAATTGACTAAAATCCTAAGGAAACTCCACCTGTAGCTCCTCCGGGAGCTACTGATGGCCCCAAGCCCGGATACAGGGGGAGGGTTGGGCATGGGATTAGCGACCCCATCCCGTACAAAACCAACTCTCTAAAAAACGCTAACCAGAAAAATCCTGAGGAATCGTCAACACGTGAAAAAAATGTACAGGGCGCTTGCTCTTATTCCAAATTTTTTGTGAGTAATAAATATATTTTTGCTATATCCTAATGAGTAGAGAAATTGCATTTCTGACGTTTCTTGATTTAATGTAAGCCACTTCTTCAGAGTAAATATGTGGATGTTTTTCTCACTGGAATAACCAATGGATTTCTTCTAAGTCTATTTCACTGATGGATTCGCGTAAACTCATCCCATCAGGCTCTGAACACGACGAAGAGCGTAAAGAAATTAGATCTAGGTTAACTAAAAGTCTAAGGAACGATCGTGAGCAGTGGTGGGCAACGAAAGCAAAAGAGATGGAAAAGGCAGCGGCTGTAGGCAACACCAGGCAACTATTCAGACCAATAAAAGAAACCGGAATTAAGAAGTCAAGTGTAAGTGAGACAATCTCCGAAAAAGACGGAACCCCTATCTGCTCTCAACCCAAACGTTTAGAACGATGGGCGGAACACTTTAAGGAGCAGTTTAGCTGGCTTTCAGCTACTGCACAACTACCCACTATTCCTAGAAAACCTGAATGGAACATTGAAGTAGGCCCCCCGACCCTACTTGAAGTTTAAAAGGCTATAGGTAATCTGAAACGAGGAAGAGCAGCTGGTCCAGATGGGTTGGCTCCAGAGGTCTTTAAATATGGTGGTCCAATTTTAGCGATTAGGTTGACTAATATTCTGGCCAAAATCTGGGAGACGGATGTAATCCCATCCGACTGGTCACAATCACTGATTGTCCCAATATATAAAAAGGGGTCAAAATCATCCTGCGATAACCATAGAGGGATTAGTCTGACCAACATACCATCTAAAATACTAGCCTCAATAATTATCGGGCGCCTAACTAAGACTCGTGAACTGCAAACACGAGAAAATCAGGCTGGCTTCAGACCTGGTCGTGGCTGTATCGACCACATATTCACCATTCGTCAAGTTTTAGAGCACAGACACGCTTATCGGCGTCCGACAATGATAGTTTTTCTTGACTTGAAAGCAGCATTTGACTCTGTAGACCGAGAGGTTCTGTGGCAGTGTCTGTCATTGAAAGGTGTACCTGAGAAGTACATAAACCTTGTGAAGGCTCTTTACTCGAACACTACCAGTCGAGTGAGAACTTATGGCGAACTGTCATATGATTTTACAACCTCAAGTGGTGTCCGTCAAGGCTGTCCACTATCCCCATTTTTGTTTAACTTCATTATAGACCTGTTGCTGGAAATAACACTCTCTTCGACTGAATCTACAGGAATTGATCTCCTACCAGGGGGACCACTAAGCGACTTAGAATACGCAGATGACATAGTCCTGTTTGGTGAAGACGCTGGCAAAATGCAGAGTCTTCTGTTGGAACTCAGTAATAATGCCAGGATGTTTGGGATGCGATTCTCCCCATCCAAATGTAAATTGTTACTCCAGGACTGGCCTGCATCAACACCTGAACTAAAGATAGGGAGTGAAGTAGTCGAACGCGTTGACAACTTCACTTATCTTGGAAGTCTGATCAGACCTAATGGGTTGGTGTCTGACGAAATCTCAGCACGGATTCGAAAAGGTCGTTTGGCTTTTGCCAATTTACGTCACCTATGGCGAAGACGAGATATCCGTCTATCAATTAAAGGACGAGTATACTGCGCAGCAGTTCGCTCTGTTCTACTTTACGGTTGTGAAACATGGCCATTAAGAGTAGAAGATACTCGTAGGTTACTAGTATTTGACCACAGATGCCTTAGAAATATTGCTCGCATCTTCTGGGATCACCGGGTAAGTAATAGTGAGGTTAGACGCAGGGTACTAGGGAACGATGGTAAATCAGTTGATGAGGTGATGAATCTTCATCGACTGAGATGGTTGGGCCATGTGTTACGTATGCCTGAACACCGATTACCACGACGCGCTATGATGACTAGTGTAGGGGATTGTTGGAAGAGAGTTAGGGACGGCCAAACCAAAACACGGCATCAGTGTTTGAAGTCATTAACTTCTAGTCTGAGCCATGTTGGCAGATGCAGACTACCTGGTTGGGGTCCGTGTGACTATCGTAACCAATGGTTGGAGACTCCAGGTGACATGGCTCAGAATCGATCACAATGGCGTAGGTGTATACACTCTTCCTTTAAACCTTGAGACTAAAATTGCTTCATATCTCTCCTCCTTCCTGTACTATATCCTTATATACAACCTATAATTTATATACTACTACCACCACTAAATTAATTACTTCTATGAACTCGGTGTTCATCTTGTTGTGCTAACGAGGTATGGCAACTTGGACCGATGCATAAATGTGCCTGGTCCTACGTTGTAGCTGACTGACTGACTGACAGAACTTGAAACCCTTGTTCTTCTGCTCTCTGAAAATAGTCATAAATTGTGCGATCGCCAAAACCTATGGATACAAGCACAAACTATACATAGTAGTCCGAAATGATTTGTTAGAATCATTGGGAACATAAACAATGTAGATATATTCACTCTCTTTCCTTTCTTAGAATCAGTTTTTCAACTAATACTTTCTTTATATTCTGCGAATTCATTCTTTCTTCCCTAATCATATTATCTATCTTTAAGACCTTTTCCACTGTCAAATAATACTATTCATACCTTTAATACACAGGAATTTATTTTCAACTGATGGACATATGTGTACCGGATTCTGACTGACTAAAAAACATTACTAAGTCAATAAAAAAGTGTATTCACAAATGAAATACATATGATATGCATTGAAATCATCACCATTACCAATCACAAAATAACAAACAATAAGATTTTTTTGAAATAGATAAATCTAAATTAAAACAAAACCAAAAAGAACGACTGGGAAAAAAACAAACAGGACAAACAAAATTGTTCACACTTTTCTTTACAATAAGTAGAATGAGTTAGGATACTTTCTTCTAGTCTTGCAATTGTCGTAAAAATGTATATGTGGGAAAATGTTGTGATACTAATATGAATAGATCTCATGGAATTGTACATAGGATAGGAAGATTTGAAAACCAAACACACACACCTCGTTATGTCATTTAAGATAGGTTTGGTTTGAATTGGTAGCAGCAGTGGTAATCAGTTGGTTAGGAGACGTAACGCTAGAAAGATTTACTGGTAAAAATAATCTACAGGGAAAAATATCCCGGGGTTATTGTTTTTCTACTGATTTTTGAACAACTGGAAAGATAAGAAAGAAATAAACATACATATTCACAGGTATGTTGAACAAATTGAAGATATTCATGAGATAGGGTTTTTATAATAGCTAACCAAAAGTCAATTACAAAGGGATTGTAGAGTTGATGAACACGACGATTAGATGGTAAACTTAGGAGTAAGTTGAAAGTTTAGTCACAATTTGAAAAAAAGTTGGATTTTGAGATGAATTTCAGACTATCCCATATACTCATATCAGTCAATTAGGATCAGCTTGGGGCTTTGAACAAATGTGAATGGGAATAAGTTTCCACACCATATTAGTACGAGATAAAATTAACAAAATGAGTAGAGAACCAATAGAAACAATTTAGTACCAATCATAATAAGGACGACCAAGCACTGAGAACAATATCTTGTTCTTTATGAGTACTAACTTATGTTAATAATTAAATTTTGAATATTATTAGGAGATTGGTGTCGAGGCAGTGTGATCAAAATACAAGTTCGAAAGTCATATCATATAACACGACCTCGTACTTCACCGATGTCATATCAAGAACGAATCCCATCTCATCTACTTTATTTCGTGAATTTGTGCTACGATTGGTTTTCACACACAAAAATTTCCTGTTCAAAGTCAAACATATCAATCTAAACTTTGTAAACACACAATACATTCAAGCTACACGTGTGCTATTAAGTGATCCGAGGAATTTCACGAAATTTTGAAATGGATCAGCTCAGGCTGCATATCAAGACCGGTAACTAAAGAGAAAAGAATGAATTAAACATACCGTTCTCCACTAGGTTCCCAGCAATACCAGCTGTACTGTTTAACACTGAATCTATATCTTCCGAATGTTCAAGAACGAAAGGTCGAATCAAGCGTCGATAAATAAGCAAGGATCCATTTTGTGAGATAGGAATCATGCAATAAATTAGAAAGGCGCACTGGAAGGTACAAAGAAATCAGGTTTGCGAAGGCTTTATCAGTAGTTACTATTGGAAGAGAAGTTGACAAACATTTAAAAATATTCACAGCAGACTACGTCACTCGCATATATCATTACGGATCTTCCTATAAATAAGAAGCACTAGAATTCCAAAACAATGACTTGTTCCATAAATATATTTACAAGTCGATATATATATATATATATATATAGCTGATAAATCTAAGGACTATGATTTGTAAATCGTGATTTCTTGAGAAAGTAAAAATGTATTACATATTACTGAAATCTAATTCCTATCGGGCTAATGTAGATATTTAACAGTGAGAAGCCAGACACATGCTTAGCTAGTAATTACGTCCAACCTGTTTTTGGTTTCGATACGTGATTATCAGACTGTACTAGATTTAGCTACGAAAATGGACAGCCAACTTGAAGGATATTCAAAGGTTAAAAAACCACCAACATTTACGCAAGTTTCCGTAAATTAGACCAGAGGAAGGATAAACTCAAAACATTACCTTTATTATGGGATATAACGGTAAGTAATAAACCATCATTGCTGTACAGGCCTCGAAAAGTTGAACGGAAGCAAAAACAACCCAGTAGGTTAGCCATTTTGTGTCGTCTTCTTTCTCATGAGTTTCTATGGCTTTAACTCTAGAAGTAAACATGATTTGCAATCAAATACTCACGACTGATATGCTGGGTACAAAGCACCAACAAGTAGAGTAAGTATATCTGTCCCATAACCAATGACTAAATACAGTGTCAAAAACGCAATCACTCCTTTCTAATAACTAAGGATGTGGAACATACCATATGCCAAATACAGTTTACTGATACCAGAACGTGTTTCACATAGGCTTAGGAAATCAGTAACAACATTCTTCTTTTCCAAGTACTCGGCAAACCGTACTTGATAAGATCGTAACTTTTCCATCGCGCCCTTGCAGAGTTAATGTACCGACAATGTAACATAACTAAACTTCAAACTTTGTCAAACACTTCAATCTCAATATATTATCCGGAAATCTAAAAATGGATACTTATGCAATTAGTTTAAAAGTCTCTTCTCTAAAAATTTACTGGAATACACGATGCTGTCTCGGCAACCTCATAGATGTCTCGGTTAACCGCAATATCATGACAACCAATAACGACAGTTTAACTGGGCCTCTATAAAAGTAGCAATTTTGAGATTTTGCGTCAGTTATGACAGGAATTTAGTAGAAATCCCTTAAATTTACTCTAGTTTTTGTATTCCTGTGGTATAAACTTCTGCTCTTTGCATAGATCCTCAGCTTAAGACAAGGTTTTTTGAGCGGTTCAGTAAATAAATCCTCTTGTCGCAAGACAAATGATTCGCTTATCTTTGAAACCGAAATAGGCAAATAGTCATTTACAGCTGTCCTATTTCACATAGTTTTACAGAAGTTAAGGTTATGACTCTATATGCAACCAGCTAGTTGAGCTGTATAGAGCCAGTGAAAAGTCACTGGGATCTAGCAAAATCATTCAGCAGTTGGGCCACCGAATGCATAACAGTTCATTGATCCTCGTCATGGTCGACGAAAGCCAACGCGCATCAATTTATTGTACGCCATAGACTGGCCCATGCAGCAGTGGTCGCACTCAGTTCCTTGTACGTTGTATTTCTGCAATAGCATCCCTTGTATTATACGGTCATCAACGAAGTCATAGTACGTGGATACGACGAAAGATTAATCCACGCTAGGTGCTAACCATGAGGTGTGACTTCAACGTTAGTGGATGGTTATATCATTCCCTTACGACTCTAGTAGGTCCCTAACCACTCGACACAGATCGTCTACCTTAGTGATCTACAGCTGTATCAGTCGCTCTCTAAAATGTTTGAACATTTACTTATGATTATTCGGGAAACCATTTTACGTCATGAGGTGTTTACAAGCGTCAGTATATAGGCATTCGAATGTTGTATCTCTGTGTACAAACATTTGTTTTTTGTGGTAGAAAATTAAAGTAATTTCCATGATTTTATGTGTAGGCTGGATATGATACACAAATATCTTTGTAGAGGTTGCAGACCCGATCGAAATTTCTCACTTCCTGTGTATAAACGGCCAGCCATCTCCATCGAACTGTCTTGGACTGTCCTCCCCAATCGTTCCCGAATTCTGTCCATGTTCTCATTATTCACCTCCGCTTCTCGTATATATACGCTCTCTGGCGTGATACTTTCCCCATCACCTTCTGGATCACAAGTTAGGGCCTGCCTCTCAATGTGGCTTGATAATTTACATAGTGTATGTCGTACCCACCTCCAGAATCTTTTCCTAATTTCCTCTCCAGCTGGAAACTAGATTGTTCTTTACCACGGTAAGTTATCGCTTGGGAAATTTAACCAACGGATATGGAGAATCTTGTGAACATAAATGTGTGAAAATACCAACACTTCTACGATGATGGTTGCAGTGGTTCCGCAAGTTACAGCTCTATACAAAAGAACTGTTTTAATTATAAGCTTGGATATATTGTCCCTGAAGTTGTTATTACAGTTGTATAGAGTCCCAAAAATGTTTATTTGTTGGAATGTCATTCGTGATCCGCTAATTCATAGATAAACATCCGTATAAATCATTTTTGTATGTCAATGATGCTGCCCGGGCGTGTTACGGCCTCTACTTCTTTCACGGCATCACCATCAAACGTAATTTGGTTGGAACTCACAGTACTGAATCTCTGATTTCTGAATTTTCTTGTGAACGTTATGATATATTCCTACAGAGACTGTTGTTACACTTTGTAATTTCATCTGAATTTGTTGCTACGTATGGGACAGAAGAGCCAGATCATCGGGAAAATCCAAGTTGTCTAGCTGGGTACAAGCGATCCGCTGTACTTCTTGCTTACTCAGAGATGTGGAGGTCACCATGATCTAGCCAACAACCATTAGATTCATCTCTTGACACCAGTTCTTCCCAATTGATTGATCACTGGGTGGTGATCAATCTCATGCGTGTCAGGTCCTTAGTGCTGATCGAATGCTATCGATCAAGTTGCAATGTGGCCACCAGTCTAGGTGGCTCGACACTGCGGGCACTATATATATTAGGGTAACATGGTGGTTGGAGGTGGTCAACAGGAAACCCTGGACCCGGGTTTCGTGCTACTTGGCACTCGTCAGCAAGGTGTACCTGTAATCTTGAGGGAACTGATGCTCCCTGGCGGATTCGATCCCGCATCACTCAGCTTCACAGTCAGAGACGTTACCACTGAGCTATTCGGGCCGCGACCGACCTCCTGCAGGACTGAGATCTAATCACAATTGATTGATCACTGGGTGGTGATCAATCTCATGCGTGTCAGGTCCTTAGTGCTGATCGAATGCTATCGATCAAGTTGCAATGTGGCCACCAGTCTAGGTGGCTCGACACTGCGGGCACTATATATATTAGGGTAACGTGGTGGTTGGAGGTGGTCAACAGGAAACCCTGGACCCGGGTTTCGTGCTACTTGGCACTCGTCAGCGAGGTGTACCTGTAATCTTGAGGGAACTGATGCTCCCTGGCGGATTCGATCCCGCGTCACACAGCTTCACAGTCAAAGACGTTACCACTGAGCCATTCGGGCCACATTGAAAATTGATCGATAGCATTCGATCAGCACTAAGGACCTGACACGCATGAGATTGATCACCACTCAGTGATCAATCAATTGTGATTAGATCTCAGTCCTACAGGAGGTCGGTCGCGGCCCGAATAGCTCAGTGGTAACGTCTCTGACTGTGAAGCTGAGTGATGCGGGATCGAATCCGCCAGGGAGCATCAGTTCCCTCAAGATTACAGGTACACCTTGCTGACGAGTGCCAAGTAGCACGAAACCCGGGTCCAGGGTTTCCTGTTGACCACCTCCAACCACCATGTTACCAGTTCTTCCCGCCAGATCGTTATGAAGAGAACTCGAAGCACCTTCTCAGCTGTTTCCGTTTCGCTTCAGTGATTCAGTTGATGTGCTGTCTGGTCATATTGACTTGCCACATTGATTTGTTTGGTAACATCAATGTGTTAAACGCCTGGTTAAACAAATAATGTGGAAAGGATTAGAAGTATAAACAGATGTCAAACCCGACTGGTATAAAGACGACACAATATAACGTATGTGTAAGTTACGTTGATGTACAAGGCTATGAGAAACATAAAAATGTGAAAACTTGACAAATAAGGAAAATTTGAGTCATGGCTCATGGAACTACATGTAGGAACATGGAGGGAATATTATAGACTATCCAGTAGATGTTGCTGTGGTTAGTTTACTAACATTTAAAATATGCGGCAATAATAACCAGGACCAGGAATCGTCAAATTAGTGTTCAATCTAATATGCTTCGCCTGGAAATAACACAATTTCTCATGGCAGTTGTCATGACTTGATCAAGGTCGTCGCTAATTGGTTATGACTTTACAGAATAAACGAAGGACGTATCCTAATTCGTTATTGGTTTTTAAGTCCGGCTTCTGTCACGTGAATTATCCACCAATGGAAACACGACTTTTCCGACCTTAACAATGTGACAATCAATAACATTCAACCAGTATGAGTAGTCTAGTGTCCTTATTGGTCCATTATCCGCCTAGCCCTTCCACTTGAATCCAGAACACCAATTACAGCTTCAGCTATGCGAATCGTTTATTTCAAGCACACTCGGTTTATATCCCAGACAGACAAACTACATCACACCATAAAATAGAAAATAATAGTTGTACAAAATCAAGCCAAATGTGGCTGCGAACGTGTGAAACAATAATCAATAAATTGAGTATAGTTTAGGAACAGTAAATCGTAAAATAATAATCAATAGGTCAAAATGAAGCTTATAATAAAATGAATATAAATAAACATAATCTAGTCACTGAATGGTTATACAATAAGAATATATATAAAATAATCGTCCATTAATAGGTCCTGGGAGTTACCTGTACTTATGTCTTCACCAGGATATAACAGCAGTGTGTTATCGCATGAAGCAATATCGACTTACATCTCCACAACTAAAACGACTACGGAGGGTAAAAGAAAGGATGTACAAGGGGAAAAATACAACTACTGAAGTTCGTAAGTTAAATGGTCAAATAAACCAAGAGATTAGACGTCTCAACTCTGTGTTAACTCAAAAACTTCTATTTTGCAGAAGCTCTCCAAGTATGTGGAAACTCTTTAAAGAAATTACAGGGAACAGGAAGACTAGACGCGATAACCAGCTGAATGTTTGTGACTTAAATAGGTCCTTTATTCAACAGTCATCTGACATCATGCTCCCTATATCCAAGGGTATGATGAATAATTGTGTCCCCAGTTTCACTGAAAATGATGTCTGGAAATGTCTGCAGTCTCTGAATTCATCCCAATGTTTAGGACCTGATGGTATCCCAAACCTCCTTTTTAAAAAATGTGCCGATGTTTTATGTTATCCACCCAGTGATCAATCAATTGTGATTAGATCTCAGTCCTACAGGAGGTCGGTCGCGGCCCGAATAGCTCAGTGGTAACGTCTCTGACTGTGAAGCTGAGTGATGCGGGATCGAATCCGCCAGGGAGCATCAGTTCCCTCAAGATTACAGGTACACCTTGCTGACGAGTGCCAAGTAGCACGAAACCCGGGTCCAGGGTTTCCTGTTGACCACCTCCAACCACCATGTTACCAGTTCTTCCCGCCAGATCGTTATGAAGAGAACTCGAAGCACCTTCTCAGCTGTTTCCGTTTCGCTTCAGTGATTCAGTTGATGTGCTGTCTGGTCATATTGACTTGCCACATTGATTTGTTTGGTAACATCAATGTGTTAAACGCCTGGTTAAACAAATAATGTGGAAAGGATTAGAAGTATAAACAGATGTCAAACCCGACTGGTATAAAGACGACACAATATAACGTATGTGTAAGTTACGTTGATGTACAAGGCT